TAACCGTTCAAGCGTCCGGTCTCCAACTTTGACACACGAACAACGCCGGAGTCTACCACAATCTTTATGCTAGTAAAGATTATAGTAGTATAAAATATAAAGATTAAAATTGGGATAATAATAATCTTGTATATTTCTATAGAAAATATTTCTAATAATATTTAGAAAATATTATAGATATTTTCTATGCACAAAATGATATTAATGGAACACAAAATAAACTTTCTCTCTCTAAGAAATTTATGGCCGAAAACCACACCCCAATTTGATAATTTACACTCTCCCTTTATAATTGTCATGTTTTCAACAAATGATTTGTCAATTTTGTCATTAAGCTAAAAGATAAAGTAATGAACAATTAATCAAGGATTATGGACAAAGTGAGATCCCAATTAGCCGTATGTTTTTATTTGAGAAAGTGAGAAGGATTTTCAAAATTCTTCTCCACTTAAATGTTCAAAGTCTATTTTATTTAACATCAAAAATTAATATAAAATTAATTTTAAATCAAATAAAAATACCAATATCATTTTTAAAAAAGTATACAAATATACTTTAAATAGTTTATGTCAAAATAATTATTTTCATAATTAAAATGACAAACCAAAATAAAATATGCAATATATAATATATATATTAATCGGTTCAAATATATATAATATATATATAACCGAATATCACATATATAATATTATATTCCAAAATATTTTATTTTATTATTTTACAAATATACAAATATACAAATTACTTATTATCCCATTGTTTAACCCTACTCCTTAAATTGTCCAATGTGTGTGACCCGTATAGGCACTTATAAAGCTGGCCATAGTATTGGCTCTTCACCAATACTATAAGCAATAAGCGGTATCTAGCAACACATTATTGCCCCTAGATTATAAGTTAAGACGTTTGCACCGTCAAAACCTTTCCACGACTCAGACTCCGTGTAACAGTATCCCTTTGTCTCAATGTCTAAACTTAATGCAAGAGATTAATAAAATCCAACTTGTATCCATTAAGTCATTCACTGATTTATCAAGTCTGACTAATAGGAACAGACGTCATAAAAGCATCTTAGCATGGCCATGCAATATCCTCAGTCATAACTTATCAGTGGGCCCCATAAGACATTAATCTCTTTAAAAAGAGTAGTGACAAATCCTATGTACGTAATCTACGTTTCTGAATACGCGCTGCAGCACACCCAAAACAAAGCCTGTATACCATCCTTATTTCATATGGCTTATGACAATGCATCAAAGTATGCGGGTTCACATATGCAGAAAACGTAATACTTCAAGTCGAAGGATAGTTACACCCGTGGTCGCGCTAAAGATGCTTAGAGCATGAACTAAAAGTTCAAGCAACATCTTTAGGATGGGTCATTCCGGCATCCTATTATCTCCAGATAATATCTGCCCACATGCGGATGCGAACACACTGTCATTGACTATGAGACTAAGCCAAACATCCAACACACACTAGTCTCACATGCAATAACGATATCCCACTCTCGTTAATACTCGACTATGGACATTCAGATAAATATTTATTTCAAGATGTTAGTCTCATCAGCAGAAAAACACTATCTGATAAACATCTTTAAATATAAATCTAGGAATATAATATTTGTTTACATTAGCATGAAATGTGTAAACATATTATATCTGCCTATACATGATAGAATAATGATAAACAGTTGGCCATCAGGGCACAACTCCAACAGACCGTTGGCTTCAAAACTGAAGGAAAATTGGCTTACCAGCGATGGGTGAGTCTAAACATCGATGGGAAGCCAATATCCTGCAGATCCACATTTTAATCAATCCCATAAATCAACCCAATCACCCTTTAAATGTTTTGATCCGTTGGAGCCTAATTTGGCACTATAAAAAGGGGTGTTTGGGTCTGCTTTACACATCAATGTTAGACGCCTCGCACACCTCTAGAGGGGGGGTGAATAGAAGTGTTGCCCAAAAGACCAGTTTTTTTTGCGCGGAAACGTTCTTAACGAATATTCAATAAAATCAATGCACCACAAACAAAGTAAAGTGAAGGATAAGAGCAATGCACACACGATATATACTGGTTCGGCCTAATTGCCTACATCCATTCCCCGAAGCAATCGTGCCCAGGCCTTCACTAACCCGTCAAACTTAACGGAGTTTGACAATCCGAATACAACTCGAGAACTTGATTTCACAAGCCTCTTATCTTACCACCGAAGTTTTGATTTCACAAAACTCGGGATTTCTTACACCTAACGTTTGATTTCACAAACCGTTAGGATTTCTACTACTTGGTGTAATCCAAACACCAAGAATACAAATCCCTTACAATAAAGTAAGAAAACAAACCGCAACCGAGTAATTCTCCCAACACGGAGTAGATTGTTGCAAATACAATGAAGTCCTTTAGAATATGGAAATATCTCTCAAAGACTCAAGCAATGAGGAAAGACTCAAGCAAGAAATGATTTAGCAATCTAAACAATTGCCTTGCTTGGATATAAGGAGGGGATTGAGTAAAATCTCTTTGGATATTCAAAGGATATGTTCTTCAAAGTGTTCTAAGTGCTCTACTGAAGATAATCTCGAAAGTAGATAGTTTATAGAAGTTGGGGAGTGGATGGGGATGAAAAGGATTCAAAAAACTAGCCGTTTGGTAGTTGAAACTGTCGACTTATTCGAATAACTCAAGAACTATTCGAATAGTTTGGATCAATCGCGTGGCTTGAAAAAACCAGTTCTTATTCGAATAAATGGTGATTTATTCGAATAAATCAGGTTGAAAACCCAGGACTTATTCGAATAAGTGGTGATTTATTCGAATAAATCAGGTTGATTTTTAGCAACAGGAAAGATCACGACTTATTCGAATAAACTAAAGATTATTCGAATAGAAAGGCAACTTCCCCACACAAAGGCTGATCTAAAAAGAGTTTTAAAGGTAAGATGATAAGGGAATGAACCTTAGAGATGCCATACTCTTTAACACATAATCTAAGACCTAAAACACTACCCAACTAAGGAAACAACCTCTTCGGTCTCGTTCCTTCCACCGATGCTCAAGTCCCTTCTTCACGGACGGATATGAACTTGTTGTAGCTTTGATTCTTAGCCTTGATGCACAAAATGATGATGATGTTTTGTCAC